CGTGATCACGAAGGTAGGCTAATGGCTGAATCGGAATTTATAAGCAAGATCACGGGAATCAATAGCCTAATACAGCCCAGTTGTGCTAAAATAAATATCATGAGACGTCCATCATCAGATGAATGACATGGAAAAGTTAGGTTAGAGCCGCTAAAGCCAGTGCTACTACCCATGCGAACATGAACACTAAGCTTTTCCCTCCAAAAATATAGCCTAAAACTTATCTAAGTTGTCACCCTGCCTCTCCAAATGCAAAACTGACATTGACAAAATGCAATAACAGCTTAAAAAGTACTTGGGTTGTGTTTTATTTTATATCTACCGTTTAATATTGCAATCGCTGCTGTCTGTCCATAGAAGAACATGACAGCCCGCGTATGTTTTGGAACTATTGGGGCTTACATGAACCACATGACAGCCGTCGCGGTGACATCAAAGCGTGTCGCAACTCTTTCTCTCTATGGCTCTGGCCTGAGCTGGTGTGATTGAGTGGAGGCGGGGCAATTTTTTTTCCATATTTATGGATTTGCGTAAATTAAATTAAGCAAGGGTGTAAAGTTACATTTTATGGGTTTGAAGAAATGATGTCATTTTGATTATCTAAGATGAATTTTAAGGGATACAATTATTGACTGTTTGACTTTAAATTAGTAAACAAATACCTTCATTGGCTGGCCTACATTTTCCATTCATTGTGTAGTTGGGTGCTGCTGCAAGGACATTTATGAATTTAAATATGTTTAAAAGTTTCATCAAAACATGGACCATGATTAGAAAAGTATGCATGGTAAAGTGGTCAGTAAGAAGATGTAATGAAGTGATTGATCTGTTTTTGTTATTTCAGAATCTCCTGTTGTAAGAGTATCTCCAGATGTGCTAAGAGAGACCAGATCAGTGAAGATGATCTGTGAGACGCCAGCAGATGTTACAGTGAAACAGTGTCATTTCTACAGAAACAGTGAACAAGAGAATATAAAAGTCAGACCATCATGTGAACTCGAGCTCACTGGTGTTGAAGTGCTCAGATGGGCAGATGTAAAATCACCTGCATCAGTCGACATTTACTGCTTCTACATAATAACTGAGCACGGGATTAATAAACCATCATCTTATTCTCCTGCTGCTACAGTGACGGTTCTAGGTGAGAGATTTCACTGCTGGGTTTTTTTTTGTGCAATGTTTTTTTTTCATTAATTATGAATTATTTGACTTAAACAGGTTCACTTCAGAAACCCTTCATCAGTGTTAGTGACGATGATGTCCAGATCAACATAGCCTGTGAAATACCACTTTCAGTCAGAGCTGATTTCAACTGTAGTCTCTACACTGAGGATGTTCTTCTGCACACACACATCTCTCAGAAGCGTTGGTCTGGAGGATATCATCTTTGCATGTTTTATTTAACTCATAATGAACTCTTCACACGATCAGTGAACAGCAGAAATCTGAGCTGTGATTATTACATCATCAACACTGAACCTGAGATCAGATCACCGCGCAGTGACACACACACCTTCAGAGGTGAGGACTTTTTACTGTAAACATTTTTAACATATGAGCACTTTTAATCAGAGACAACTCTATAATTCTTAAGCCAATAGGATTTATGAAGGTCGTTAGAACATGAAGTTTGATCAATAAAAGAAAAAGTCAGTATTTACAACAAATAAAAACAAGATAAGTTGAATGAGACTGTGTATTACATCTAGGGCACTTCTTGACGGATACTATTGATAATTATAACGACCCTTTCAGGCTGTATAATACAACACTGCAAGGTCAAATACACTGAATGTATTGATCGTGTCTATGAAGGCAGAAACAACATATTGAAGCTGATTCTAGCAGTTGTGGAATGCGGTGAGACAGTGAGTCAGTAGACAGTGATCTGTGAAATCTTCTTACACTGAATAACTTGTAGGTTCTTCTCAGACAAACGCTTAACCAGTGTGACCTCAGCAAGTGAACTATCTGATATATTTAGGCAGGAAGGAAGAGTCGCTTCAGCTGAGATCATGTCAGAGAGCTAGACAATGTCCGACACATCTATAGAAAGAAGCTTGTTTCTGCACATCTAATATGAGGGTGAGAGGAGAAACGGCAAGCAAATCATTTAATATTTTAAAAGTTTCTTTGCAAGTTCTTATTGGATCATTCCTGTTCTGCAGCACTTCTTGAACTCTTTTTATTAATACACAAATTAATAAACTTGTGTTGAAGTCAGAAGAATTTCAATATAAGTATATTTCAGAAATATGCTCTAAGATCATATGACATTTTGACATTATGACTGGATTATGATTACACGTGCAAATAAAGAACCATTGCACAGTGAGTGATTGACAGTCAGTTTAAAACAACTTTTGAAGTGTTGATATTATCATGCAAAAGGAACCATCAAAATAAAAATATTATCGATTTTTGTATTTTGTCAAACCAACTACTACCACAAACCATCACAGAAAATAAGTCAAATGCTAATGCTGATGTTGGTGCTGTAGTTTTCCCTCCAAAATGATGAACTTCCTGAAGGATGATGTCATTAGAGAACTGCTTTTTAATAGTTTAATAGTTTAAAATGACAAAAGACTAACATGATGAAAGTTAAGGACACAGTTTTTTTTTCTTTCAGTTTTTGCATCTTTCAGAAGAGTCACCTACTTCTAACCTTACCTGAGAGATGAATACATTTAAATTTTCCTTTCTTCTTCATTAGATCTTCCTCAGGCCAAGTTAACAGCATCTGCTTCAGTTATAATGGAAACAGACACAGTTCAGCTGAGCTGTGAGAATACTGAAGATCTGAAGATGGAGATGTGTTACTTTAACATAAATGAAAGAGAAAGTAACTCAAAACCGAGCTCATCATGTCAGCTCTCACTCACTGGATCTCAGATCAGTATTTGGTCAGAAGGTCAGAGTTCATCTGTGAGAATAACCTGCTTCTACACTGTGAAGAAGTCACAAGTTCAAACACCATCTAACTCTGATCCAGTGACAATAACAATCCAGAGTGAGTCTTGAGATATTTTATTTATGTATTAAAAAATCTGTTTAAAAGTTATTTCTGTCAAAAAAACAAACACAAAGTCCTTTACTTGCATCTATCCACTGAGATTTACTTTATGAATCTATGATATGGGCTGTTCACTCTTGTAATGTTTCTCTGTACAGCAGGATTATTGAAACCAAAATGAGTGTTAGTTTATAATATACAACTGTACAAAGTAACTCATTGTTTCATTCTTAAATGTTACAGTGCTGGTTCTTTGGTTCTGTAATATCCTTATTGGCTATAAGGCCAGAATTACATCATACGGCATAATGTGGGGAAAAGTTGTATTTGAAGGCTCTGTACCTTTAACAACAGACTGTATTGACATTTGCTTTAAAGTTAAATATCGCAATTGCTCCCTGTAATACTGTAAACTGTCTTGACAGTTTCAACACCAGCTGCACATGTTACAACAACCATGAAAACCTGTGAGTAATTGAGTTTGTAAAATCAAAAAGACATCATTCTTATTCCACCTTTAATGATGTGGCAATTGTTCTTTCAGTCTCATTATTTTCTGTTGCGGTTGAACATTTTATTATATATCACTGCAAATTTTACAGCTTTACCTTTAATGTCCACTTCTGAAACGTCCAGTACAGCTGGTAAGTTACTGATAACACCTTTTTTGGTTATTCTGAATTAAAATTGAAAACGTGATTCTCCTTGCAATTTGTTATTTATTTTTATATTTGTAGACTTAGTTTCCAAGTCAAAACTGCCAAAGAGCAAAACAAAGAAAACCACACGTAAGTTCATCCACTCTTCCTCATTGGTAAAATCACTTGGCCTATGTTGAATTAAAAAAAATATATAGTTCAATAGGCATCTACATTTTGTGGCTCGCATTGACTCTGCCGGTTAACAGAAGAATGTCATAAGTTACCTAGTACTTAGATGCCAAATTAGTAAGCTAATGGGAAGTCACATGACTCAAGATGAGACTGTATTGCTTATGAGCTGAACGCTCTCTTCTGTAGCATCATAATTTCATTCGAAAACATTTGAGTTCATTTTGGATTGGTCTTCCACATTCCAATTGTTTGTTTATCATAGTTACAGCTATAACTTAATTTAAAGGTTTATGCCAGTCTTTGTTTAAAAAATCATTTTAAATACACCCTATAATGTTCTCACTGCAGTCTTAACAGCAACGTCCACTCAAAGAGCTTCACCAATGGAGACAAAAACAGGCAAGTAAAGTTTAGTGTTAAAAAAAAAAAACACGTACCAAACATTACAATTCTTTCATAGTGTGTTTATTATAACTCATATAGCTAATTCTTTTGCAATGTATTTACAGCAGTAATAGCTGCTATTTCCACTACTGAAACCCCAACATCCACCAGAACTGGTAACTTTACTAAATTATCAGTAAAATGCCGTCTAAGAAAAATTCTCTTTGGATCTTCAACAGTGACCTCTACTGGTGAAACTTTGACAGCCAGAATTTTATTTTATTTTATTTGAAAATAAAACACTTGACAAGCACACAGAGGCATTTTGCTCATTTCACTTTAAATTGCCTAATATTTTTAGTTTATTGCACAGCTTTCATATTACTATTAGTCAGTTGCAGGATTTAGCAGTCAAATATTGTTATACAGTAAAATTACAGCTAAACTGTATTATTGATCACTGTCCCTGACAACTGATTTTAGGCTATTGTTTTAATATCTCATCCCACTCTGACACTGTTTTTATCAGCTGTGTTCATACCAGCTTCTGCTCTGCCTGAAACCACCAGAGAGCCAGAAACACGTAATGTGTTTTTGCTTTGTTGATAAGAGAATATTGAATCTTTGTTAAATATGAAGAATCATTTTCCTGGCAGTGAATCATCATCTAGAAACACTGATGTCTGTAATCATGATTCAGTAGTTCTGAACTAGTTTAGTTTTTTATTATTGTAATATGATTTGATCTGAGATCTTTTCTGTTGCAGCTGTTCCTCATACTGATCACATTCACTCTGAAGGTTCATTCACTCACAACACAATACAAAACTGATCATCTAAATATCTGTAAAAACTAAAACATTGACATTTCCTCCTTTCATGATCATATGATGTGGCATGTTACTTTAAAATGAGTTTAATAACAAATCTGCACATAAATCTGATAAAGATATAAACATGGATTAAAGCCTTATTCTTTCTTTTGACAGGCTCATGGCTTTTAGTAGTGCTGGTTTTCACTGGTATTGGTTTATTTCTGTCTGGACTCATGGGATTCATCTGTCTCTGCCCCTTTGACAGTAAGTTTACATATTCATAAGCTGAGCTCCACGATGTAGAAACATATAATAAAGTCTGTGTCGTGCAGGTTCTGATGACGTTCTCACAGAGGTGATCTACAGCTCCTGCCATGTGGAAACAGCATCTCTTTTATGCTCCTCAAAACATGGATGAACAGTTTCATTTCTTCACTTCTTGCAAATTTACAGACAACAATTATGTACAGAAAGAATGATAGTTCAGAATATAGCCACTGAATTCATACTGATCAGCAGGCCAAGGCATCTTGGAGGTTTTTTCCCACATTTAGATTTTGGGAGAAGATCATCTTATAATTAATTGTGATGCTTCACATTTGATGTTTTTTTATTTTAACAATTATGTTTCTTCTTAGTTTTTTGTTATTAGTGAAGTACATAAGGGTTTTATGTTAAATCTTATGTTGTTTAATGTTTATTGCATAAATTTAGTGTCATGTGTGCCTGACACTGTGTTCACCTTCTACATTAGTATTTACATCAGCTTATGGAAAAGCTACTTGTGATGAACTTTAATTTATGTGACTTTCTCTTTACTCCTACTGTTATTACGGTATTGTCAGTATGTTCAACGTACAAAACAGATTTTAGTATCAGAGTGACCTTGATAATTCAGCAGAAAATTCAGCACAAATTCAACTGAACTGCTTAACTTTGTGTAACATTTTAGTCGGAAGATGAAGAATTAAGAAGGATAACAGCTTTTTTATTAACTAAAGCAAATGTAGCACTCGTCTGCAGTAATTTAGTAGACTTTTTTATATTACTGTTATAATACAGATAAAATTTGAATTCCGTCAGAAGAATCAGGGATCGCTAAGGAGACAGCGGGTTATCATGAGTAGTAACAGACAGACACAAGATTGATTTAGAAATGGAAATATAATTGATTTTTTCCTTCGCAGGGAAAAAAGATAGAAAGTTAATAAAATAAAGTAAATTACAAGATCACATACAATAGACAATAAAACAGATAATGGAAATATCCACCACGAGTGCACTCTTGTCGGTGTTCTCAAATATATACCCACATAAGTAGTAAACAGAGAATAAACAAATAGGACACAACAAAAGAGAGAATAATCTCTCTCTCAAGACCTTCGAGTATCTCTCGTAAAAGTTCCAATGTCTCTCAAATCTGGGTTGTGGTTGACCATAAACCTTCAAAAAGAAAATAGTTCTTAAATGTCAAATTTGTCGTGCTTCAATGAGTAGCACTGGAAACTCAAGGAAAGGATATCGGCCTCCTCTCCACGAAGTGATGTCTTCTGCCTTTCTCTAAACTTGGTTGGCTCGCCATCAAACACAGAATCTAACGTAGACTCACTGTATTCCGGACATCACGGTATTCCGGACACTTGACCTTTTCTCGCAAATTCTATAAATAAAAACTTTCAGGTCACGGCATATATATATATATATATCCGTGTCATCTTTGCCTCCTCCTCTTTCGATTCCGACCAATTCTATGTTTCCAGAGCCAGTCGTTTCAAAGAAATCAACGTGAGTTTCTAACGTACACCAATGACTGTTCAGAAAATTGCGGGGGGAAGGTTTTCTGGCAGGACAAAAGGAAGAGGGGAGAATACCTCCGTAGAAAACGGCTCTTAAAACATGTTCACCCACCAGAAAATGACAAAAAAAAAAAACATTCTTATGGTCTTTTAAAATAATTATGAGTTACAATTTGCGAATATTTGTACTTTTTTTAAGGGATTTAAATTTTTTTAATATTTAAAACTCTTAAATATAACGTTAACGTTAGAATATAATGCTCACATGAGCAATCGTCGATTAAAAGAGTGTATAGACACTTGTACAACAAAGTTATGAAGATTAATATGATTACTTTACCAACTTATAGTTGGTAAAAACGTATGTGTTTTACATTAGAAATGACTCGTCCTTAACTGTCCGAAACACAGTGAGTAGAAATTTTCAGCCGTCCGGAACACCGCGAGTTCTCACGGTAATCCGGACACTGCGTCTCCCGGCAGTTTTTTTAAGATTTCTCCAAAATGATTAGTCCAAAATGTGTCAATCAAACTTTGGAACATGTGGAAGGCATGTCCCCAGAGACAGACGAGCCAATCAGGTTTATCTTTCTGCAGATTGATATCTTACTGGACGTTTTACTGTGCAAAGTGTCCGTCTACGTTACAGGATGTCACAGAAGGTTGTGCAGTCATCATGTCTCCACGAAATCAAGAAGAAAAGAAATGAAAAGAAAAAACAAAGGAGAGAGAAAAAACCTGGCCTGATCACAGACCAGAACATTCATTTAGTACATTTCAAAATAAGTTCCACATTAAAGATACAGAATAATATCTAATACACAGTTACAATCACCATTTCTTCATGAAATAATATAATCACATTCGTTTACCTCTGAATCAATAGCTCTTTTTCTTATACAGACACGTGGCCAACAATGGCGATGTGAACTCTGAAATGAACAAATAATAACCCCGCGGTTCACTATAACCGCTCAAACTGAAGTAATCACATAACCAGTAACATACAAATATCTTTTTTCACAGAATTGATTGATTAATTATTTACCTTTGTGATCGATCTTTTTCGTTTGCTCTCACACAGCGCACCTCAACTACAGACGCGAGATCTACAGTGCGCGATCAGAAAATGGCGTCGAACTGCAATGTATAATGAGCACGCGGTTCACTTTAGACATTTATGACTACTCGGATCAAAATACAATCTTTACGAGAAAAAACCAGTCCACAGCAACTAATTTACGGTTTAGTAGCAGTAATTCTATCTTATTATGAGGTAATACAGTCTTTTTATCATTAATTATTTGATACTAACTCACCAAGTAGAATGTATTCCTCAATTCAGTCGGCTTCTTATTCAGAATGAATCAAACTAATTAATTCTCAAGGTTTCTCGTATTATTTCAAAGATTTTCAATCAAAGATTTATAAAAACGGATCAGACGATCAGATTGCGTCTGCTCTTCTCAATCAAGCTCGTCTCTTCTGTCATCGCGCATGCTGGTTGACGCCAATGGCGCAAATGACAAAGAGCTCTCATTGGTTGATCACTAAGCTTTTATCTAAAATGAATTCGCAAATTTATTTATTTTATATTCTTAACTTTTACATCTCTTATCGACTTTTATTAAGGGAACAGGATATCACTAAATTGTGTATAAATTAAATAATTACTTTTATTTAACCTGTGTTACACAAAACTCAGGCAATCCACAAACAGCGTGCAATGCACAAATACCAGATAATGAACTGAGGAAACTGGAGGGTTTAAATACAGGGTGTGAACTCAAACAGGTGTGCTAATTAAATGAATATCCACGCAACTAAAGACTGGCGGGAACAAAGGAACACAGGAAACAGGTTAATAAGAGAAACAAACAAAAAGTTTATGAAAACCAAAGTAAAACAGAGCGTGACAGACATCATGTGCCTGTAGTCTGTGAGCCTATGTTACCTGTGACCCAAATCTGCTGTACATGTGTTCTCATAATGTATGATCATTTTCATAGTTCTGACTGCACAAGCATTAAATGGTTTCCTGTGGTCTGTGTTACTTCCTATTTCACCTATTGTGTGAGTCTCGTCTCTTTTCTCACTCTCGCTGTAATGGAGTTGATCATATGTATTGCTCTTCAGCTGTTTATGGAGGTTCAGTCTTACAGTAAATGATCCCTGATATTTAATGTTGATTAAATGTCCACATTTGCAATTAAAAAAAGTTTAATTTTTCAAAAATATTTCAGCATGTGTGATCAGTATGTTTGTGTTTCAGTAGACAAACAACATGACACACTCTCTGCTTTAAGGCATATTTGTTTTTCTTTGGAAATTAAAATTTTATTAAAATTGATTAAACTGATTGCAATTACCCAATTAAAACTCTCTGGGTTCGGCAATCACGCCGGCGTGATCTGCTCGCTTTTTTTCTTATCAGTGCAAAAGAGACTCAAAATACTCGGTTGATTTTGATCTTACATTTAAGTGTTATACATCATTAGATCCTGTTAAGTTTCTATTTTTTTTTTGTGGATACTCACAATAAAAACAAAGTGTTGTGCTTTTCACCAAATAAAGAAAAACAAACATGATGCGAGTTCTGCGTTCTCTCTGTCAGTGAAGTCCATTCTGAAACGCGTCCTAAGATTAAAGCCCCGTTCACACTACACGCGACCAAGCGACGCCATACCATTCATTTCAATGGTTAGCGGGCGACTTCCGGCGACACGCTCGACAGCGACCGTTGGCGACTAGATGGGGCGTGTCTAGCGACGGACAAAGTTGAGAAATGTTTTACTTTATGCAAATAAAGAGCGATTTTCGCGAGGGACAACCAATAGGAGTGGAGCGCACGTGATCCTTCTCCTCAGCCCCTGGGCCTGCAGTGATGGATGGCAAGAAAGCTGATTCGCTGTCTTTTGGATGTCATACTAGTCAACCAGTGGTGGGAACGCCCACTAGCGACCTCATCGCCAGCGCCTGGCGACTTGCAGCGACAAAGTCGCGTGTAGTGTGAACGGGGCTTAACTGTAACTCCGCGATTACTTGTCACTCAGGCACGAGAGATTTTTCTTTATGAAGCTTGAATTCTCTTCTTTTAAATGAAGTAATTTATATAAAAAAACAAATATTCTCAGTTTATGCAATCTGTATGAAAAGAGAGTGCTGTCAGTATTTTTTCCCCAGCTCATTACACTTCATTACGCGTTAATCTGACACGCCCACGGAGGACGCGCGCTATTCAAACGCAAATGTCGAGGCAAGCCATGACAATGCCCACATCAGCCATTCCACCGCGGCGGTAAAATGTGTGGTGTATTTGCTGCCTTTTACCGCTAAGAGGCGCTATAATCATAGGCTCTGAAAAGTGTTTGTTTATTCCGGTTTATTCTCTCTAATGCGTAATCTGCTACCGCGCCACGGCTGATTCAGAGCGATTGAAAGCTGGTAGCAGATCAGATGAATTCAACAAGTGAAACGTAGTTAAAATAATTCATAATCACAATACTGAAATTAGGCTACTGAAATGTAATTGAATAAATAATGAAAACATTTCAACATAAAACATTGCAATAAAAACATTTAGGCTACATCAATGAGGCTTTACAACTTTAACAGCGTAGCCTACAGACGGTAGCTCAGTGATCAACGCAACTTCACGAACTTCGAGGAGCTTCAATAAACCCGAGATCGAATCTCAATGTAGCATAGGCCTACATGTTGTTAACCGATTATTACGCCCCGACTCTAGGGAATATAAATCACTAAAGAGGCGTAATAAATAACTATTGGGTTGTGGTATGGAACCCCAGCAACGAATCACTCCGGTCGATAATCAAAAAAAC